CCCCAAAACCCCAAAACCCCAAAACCCCAAAACCCCGTGATAAATAAGCAGGTTGGAGATAATTTGTAGATGTTTTATAAGTGATGGAGATACCTTGGATTTTGAATATCACACCTCCATCTAACTTTCCCCACCCTCATACTCCAGCTCAAATTCAACCAAAAGGTCATCAAGCCCAAGCGTCCTGACCATAGCCAACACTTCCTCTTTGTGCACTACCTGGTATATTTTTACGAATTTGAGCGTGCTCTTTATCATAGTGTTACTAATCACTTGCAAAATTTGTGCAAAAATGTCGTTAAAGAAGAACTCTGAGCTCTGATTTAGAGCTCTGCATGTCTTAAATTCTAGTTCTTCCAATTCAACTTTATTACCTGCATTAGAGAATAAGTACACTCTTGTAATTGGTAAGAACAATCAGCGATCAAATTCAATCCTTTCTCATCTATCTGCGCTGGAGAAAATTTGAGATATTTGCTTTTGACTTATCTTGAAATTATGAAGAGCCAAGTTCTTCACAACCTTGAAGCCAATTCCCAAAATTGTTTTGAGCAACAAATCTGTATTTGGCCTCAAACTTGATCCTTTATACCGTACTTTTAATTCAAAAATATCAATTGGGGCTAATTCTTTCAGAAGTCAAATTGTATTTGCCTTTGACACTCTGGTATTGAGCACAAAAAGATTTAGAACCACAGCCCTATTACTGGGGAAATTAAGCTTTATCATTTTGCCCATTCTCACAGTTTGATAATTCTGTAAGAGATAGCAAGAGCTTGCAAGGGATAGTTTTGACCTGCGAATCCTCTTTTGGATTATTAGAGAATAACCTGCTTTGTAATCTGGTCAAATTTGGCATTGAGCTAAATTTTGAAGTTGGTTGTGTGCTCCTAAAGTACCCCTCTCATCCTCTTCCACTTGCTCCAAAGCCTCCATATCAGACTCCATTTTTATAATTCAACCAGCATCCTTTCATTCGGGGTTTTGGGGTTTTGGGGTTTTGGGGTTTTGGGG